GCAAAAGTATACAATATCTCAGTCAGCATACTGACCTTGACAAGGTCCAAGTAGAGAACATTTCCATCACCACAGGGATCTTTCCCATAACAGAAATTAAAAGACATAGTGGTGAGATACAGTGGAAAATGTCTGTAATCTCCCTGTTGTGGAAGCTGAGGCAGGAGGATCTTGAGTTCAAGATTAACCTAAGATACACAGTGAAACTGTCTTAAAACAAGATGATGGTGATGGTGAGGAACAGAAGAAGGAGTGGAGGAGGAGGAGGAGGAGGACGAGGAGGACGAGGAGGACGAGGAGGAGGAGAAAGAAAGGACACTGTTAATGCATGTAGGACATTGGCACAAAAGAAAATGTGTTCTTGTGGTTGTACCACTGGAAAAAGCTGGGCTTTGCAGGAGGCTAACCAGTAAGGCACATCAGAACCTGATACAGAAAATTCTTTTTCACCCAAGTGTGGTGACTCACGCCTGTAATCCCAGAACTCAGGAGGGGGAGGCAGAAGGACTGCCAGTTCCATGCCAGCCTGGTCTGTATACATAGTGAGACCCTGTCTTAGAAAAACACAGAACAAAACCAAACCAAATTCCCCTTCTCCTCCAGCATACCTCTAGCACCCTCTACTGACACGGATTCACATTGTGCCAATGGTAAAGCAGAAATGGTTCCAAGCAGAAATGGTTCAGTGATAACAGAGTGGCTCAAGAAGGGTGGATTTGGAGAAGAGATGCAGTGAACTGGTAACTGGTATACACTTAGAGGCTTAGAGGCCACACTAAGGTAATTGAGTTTCTTTGATTTCCCAATCCACATTCCACTTGATGATTGACTTCTTTAAGATTCTATTAGGCACTGCTTCTACATAGGGGCAAATAAAAAGCTTTACATTTTAAACACAGTTCTGTGCAAAGTCTCCATAAATACAACAAGGTTTGCAAAAGAATATGATTCCATAATCAGAGACCATTTTAATGACCTCTACTTAGGGATACATTTTGAGCAAGAGTTTGACCAAGATTGTCTAAAACAGCCATTTCTGAACACTTGGTCCTGGACCAGGTACACAAATCACTTTGAAACATTAATTGACTGGTACTTAAAAACAGTTTAAGATTTCATGAGAACTGAGTAGAAAGTACAACATACAGTGATTACTTCACAAGTTCACCTGAGTCAAAATTCCCACATGGGTCAGGGAGGAGCCCCAACCCTAGCTGAGGAGTTATTGACAGTTGACGGCTGTTAGGGAAGGAAGAGTGGATTTTGTTCAGGGATGTGGCTCCTGGTAGGTTGCCCATACTCCAGTAGATTGCCCTGCACCCAACTGCATAGAAGCACACTAACTAGACTCTGTGTGCTTTCGTGGCTTCATAGCTCATTGCTTTTAAAGCACTGAATAATATTCCATTGTCATGATGTACCACAATTTTGTTTA